GGGTGGGCTGGCCTACCTCCCCAATCATGCCGTTCCACACGCCGCGCACTCTCTTGCCATGCTTGCCATTGGTCACCAGGTACAGGTCGTAGGAGAACTTGACCACCTTGGCCAGCTTCTTGAGGATATCGATGCAGAAGCCCTTACAGCAGAGCTTGGTGTAGGGGGCCGCATCACCGCTGTGGCCGCCACCACCAAAAGACCACCAGTCAGGCATCAGGCCCCAGCGTGGCCGGTCCAGCCTGGATGTGGACACCCTCCCTCAGCCCTAGCATAAGCCACACACAACACCTGCCAGTCACAAGGGCCTCTCTGTGTTCTCACGAACCTGAAAGTGTGATTGCCGTGTCTGCGGCAGGGTACGGTGTTGGGCACACAGCCGCCCGTGCCAGAGTTAGGGCTCTCTACGATGACAAAGGGCCGTTCTTCCAGCGTGGCCACTGTCAGATGCCGGCTGTCCACCACAGGCTGCAGAGAGGCACTGTAGCGAGGCCACACCGGGTACTTCATGTGTAGGACACCATGCTCCCAGCGTCCCACCTGTGGAGGGCGTGGCCTCAGTTTGGGCCCCAGCCCTACCCCCACCCTTGGGGGAGGGAGGCTCCAGGTAGGACCTGCCAGGGCCAAGAAAGCCCTCCCTCACTTAAGAATGGTTGGGGCCTGACAGCCAGGCCTGGGGCGGGAGCACGTGGAGAACAGGGGAGACAGGGGCAAGGGGCCGAGCTGGGCCAAGAGAGGCAGGCTCCTCCCAGCCCCCCATCCTGTCACACCAATCTAGCCGCCACCCCAATCCAGTCGCCACACTCTGCTATCAACCCAAGGCGTCTTCCTAAGGCCCAGACCTGAACCAGCCCTACAATTTCCCCACGATCTTCAGTGTAGACTCCTTAACAAAACACTCAAGGCCCTTCACCTCCATCCATGTTGCTCACTATCACCCCACCCTTCCTCCTCATTCTTCACACCCCCAAACGCACCCACCACAGCCCCTAAAAATCCCCACCTTGCCTAAACCAGGCTGGTACTCCTTCCTGGTGGGATCCTATTCAACCCTGTACAGCCCAGCACAGACGTCCCCTCTCCTGGAGAGGAAGCCTTCCCCCAGCTTCCTCCTTTAGTTGTCGTTGGGTACCAGTGCGTTGACTCCAATTCATAGTGACTCCATGAGACAGAGTAGAGCTGCCCCATAGGGTTTTCTTGGCTGTAATCTTTACAGAAACGGACCACCAGGCCTTTCTCCTGCTGAGCCACTAGGTAGGTTTGAACCGCCAACCTTCTGATTAGCAGCCAAGTGCTTAGTCATCACGCCACCATGGCTCAGAAAAGCTAATGCCTGCTCCACCTTTCTAGTGTCAGAGTGCTTTGCACCCATCTCTGCTCGGACCCTGGCAGACATCTGTCTGGCCAGCACAGATGTGGACTGCCCCTCCAGGAAGAGGACTGTGTGGTTAAGAGTGTACGATAAGTCCTACAGTAAAGGGGAGACAGGGTGTTATGGGAGCCCAGAGCAGGGGCACCCTATCCCCCCTGGGGTACAGGAAGGCTTCCCAGAGGAGATGTTTCAGCTGAGACTTCAAGTTTGAGGGGAAGGACCAGGGGCGGAAGGGGCTCTCTGCTGGGTGTGGGAGGAGCTGGGGACAACGAGGAGGAAACCATGGGTCCCTGGGCTCACCCCCTTCTCACCATCTCCCAGAGGCGGTGCCGGTTGAGAGCGATCACAACCATGGTGGGATGGACCAGGTACCCACCAGGGCTGAAGGAGAAGTCTCGGCCCTCCCAGGTGACGTTCAGCAGGTGCCTGCAAGGGGGAGAGAAGCAGGGTGTCCCATGCCGCTGCCTGCAGCCCTGCCAAGCCCCAGGCCCCCTGCCTCTGCCTCCCCACCACTCATGTTAATTGCGGACTTCCTTTGAAGTTTCCCTCTCCCAGGTCCTTACCCCCAACCCATGCTTGCTATCTTTTCAGATAAGGAAACTAAGGCCCAGAGAGGTCAGGCAACCTGTCCCCAGACACACAGCTAACAGGAGGTGTGACAGGCAAGGCCAAGCTGACTGCCACCCAGGGGGCCAGGAAGCGCCCCACACCCCAGCCCAGCCCTGGGGAGGTGCCCACCTGTAGAAGGCCTCCCGGGCAGGGGTGACAGGCCCGGGGTGGCTGCGGCAGTCCCCGGCGGCGGCGGGCAGGGCGCCGTACTGGGTCCGGTAGCTATGAGCGCCCAGCGCCAGAACAGCCACGCCGTCGCGTACCTTCTGACGCAGGCTGAGGCGCCAACTCTCGGTCACCACGCTGATGAGGCCCACGGGGAAGACAGCGGGCGGCGCGTCGGTGCTGCCCAGCGCCAGGTTGGGCACCAGCCACACGTGCCCGGGCCCTACCAGGCCAGCGCGCGCCGCCTCGGCGAACAGCACCTCGGCCTCGTCGCGCGAGCAGTAGGCCACCAGCACCGGCGCGTCGAGCTGACGCAGCATGCGCTGGGTGCGCGCGCGCGTCCCGCCCGGGCCTAGCTCCAGCGTCAGCACGTCCAGCAGCCGCCAGCCCAGGTGGCCAGCGTCGGCGACGGCGCGCACGCCCTCGAGGAAGAGCGCGTGGCCCGGGTGCAGGCTGGTGATGACAGCGAACGCGCTCCAGTTGTACTCCTCCAGGACCTTGAAGAGCACCTGCAGCTGCTGCTCCAGAGACACGCCCAGCTGCAGGAAGGCGGAGCCCGGCTCCTGGGGCGGGGGCGGGGCGGGGCCTGAGCCGGGCGGGGCGAGGCCAGCCCCGCCCCATGCCTCCTCCCACTGGCCGCAGCCGCGCGTCCCCACCTTCCCACCTTCCCACCGCCCCAATCAGCTTCCAGACGCCTTCGCAGAGAAGCTGCCGGGCGTCCGCAAGTCCCGCCGGTTGCTGATTCCTCCACACCTCCTGCAGCCCCGACGTGAACTTTAGTGCTTCCTACCCTGCTGCCGCTTACAACCAGCTGGGGACCTTTCACTGATGCCAGGTCCCCCCCCAGAGCAGTGCCGGCCTGCGAGCCAGCAGCATCAGCATCGGCAGGGAGCTTGTTCCAAGCCCAGGCCCACTGCCTTCGAGTCGATTTTGACTCATAGCAGCTCGTTGCAATTGCAAATTCTCGGGCCGCATTCCAGACCTATTAGATCAGACTCTCTGGGGGTGGAGCCTTATTGTTGTTTTGTAGCACCTGGGTTTTAACAAATACATCAGGAGATGCTTGAGCCCACTAGTTGGAGACCATTGCCCCAGACCAGTTGTATCCGAATCTCAGAGGCGGGGCTTGGGGCGTCTGCATTTTTTAAAAGCGCGGGGAAGGTTGAGAACGGGCCGTGCTGGGAGCTAAAGTCGGGGCCCAAAAGGTGGCTGGGAAGGCGCCACCCTCCGCTCTTCTGCCACCACAAAAGCCCAAGCTCTACCAGCTGGCGCCTGGGCGAGGGCTGGCATCTCCTAGCCGTGTCTCCCTGCTTCCACTAGCCCCCGCAAGATGTCACCACACTGCAACTGTCCTCATCTTTTTAAAAAGCGAATCAGGGAAAACTCCAGGACAAGCTAGTTTTTTTCAACAAGCAAACTGCAAGAGAAGAGAAAGAGGAGGGAGAGAGGGAAGTGGAGAGAGACGGAGGGACAGAGCAAGGGAGAGAAAAAGGGGAATATTGAGGAGGAGATTGGAGATAAAGGGACTGGGAAGCTGTATCAACCAATCGTAAATCGTAATGCGTGTATCTTATTTGGATTCAAGTAAATAAACTTAAAAATAAACATTTGTGACACTATGAAGCAAGAGGAGAAAGGTGAACACTGCCTGGATACTTGATGATGTGAAAGGATTTTTTAAAATGTTTTAGACATGGTATGGCATGATAATTTTCTTTTTAAAAAGTTCTTACCTGCTAGAGAGACATCTTGAAATATTTATGGATGACATAATAGCATGGGTGTTGCTTCAAATAACACAGAAGGGGGTAGGAAGTTGAGCATGCTGCAGGGACGGCAAGGGGTGGATGGCAGGCCCTGGGGATTTTCACTCTACTTCTCTTACGTTCAAAACTCTCCGTAATGAAAAACAGTTTTTGAAATAAGGGCAAATCAGGCTGGTCTCTTGGCTCCTCATTTAGGGTAAGACCCAAATATCTCCTGTGTGGTTGGGACTTCCCTCTCCAGCTTCATAATCCTCACTGGCCACTCTCCAGCCCCACGGCTTCTCTCTGCTCCTGCAAACCTTCCGGCCTCCCGGCCCTCACTGGTCCACTCTCCCTGCCTGGAAACCCCCCACTGCTCTCTCATTATCCAGGCCTCAGTGATGATATCATTTCTTGAGAGACTGTGTCTGACCAGCCCTCCCCCATCCAAATGAGAACCCCTGCCAGAGCCCCCTGGTGTCCCAGTACACTTCCTTCAGAACCCTCAACCCAGGTGGTTAACGGCAGAGTATGTGTTTAAAACTTTCTCCCCACCGGACTCCAAGCTCTCTGGGGGCAGGGCTGTTTCCTTTGCGTGGTAAATGTCCCTCCCCTCACCCTCTTGCCTCGGACAGTGACCCCCCCCAGAGTGCCCCTCCTTCAGGTTAATGACAGTTGCCCAGAGGGCTCAGTGTGCCCAGGCTGGCCCTCCACCCTGTCAGGAACCTGCCCAGGGAGGACCAGAGAAGCAGAGAAGGTAGGCACAGGATCTGACCATCACAGCCAGAGGTGGGCTTGCCACCCGTCACCCCTCACACAAACATTCCGTGAGGGTGAAAGGCCCCTGGTATATTTACCTTCTAGAAGATAGGAATGTCATCACACAGCCTTCTCCTCCGTACCCATGTCATGCCCCCAGCCCACACCTCCTCGCCAGTCCCCCCCGATGCCAGCTGCCCGGGACCTCACTCTCTCCCTGGCCCAGCCTGTGTACCCAGAATGCAGGCTCTCCCTCAGCTCCCATCCCCAAGCCTGCTCCACGCTCAAGGGACAAGGACACGTGAGTTTGGCAGGCACCTTGGGGGTGAGGACCACAGCAGAGCCCCCACTGATGCTGAGGATGGGCACGTGGGTCTGGGAGGAGATGAAGTCGAGGATCTGGGCCACGGCCTCGGTGTCCACGTTGTCCTCAAAGACGATGCCGTGGACAGGGGCAGCACCCAGCAGCCCGCAGATCTGGGTGAGGAGGCTGCTGGGGTTGGTGTTGTTGACTCCCACAGTGAGGGGCTGGATCTCCAGGGGCAGGTCCAGGAAGCTCTGGGGGGTGAGGCGGGCACGGGCCTGGGCCTGGGGCAGCCCCGAGCTGCCAAACACCACAGCCACCGTCACAGCCTGCCGGTCCTGCCCCATGCCCGGCCCCACCCAGGTCCCCAGGATCGAGGTGAGCAGCAGGGCCGGCCCCAGGGCCCCACCCATGTCCACTGGAGGGTCCTTCGGAGAGAACAAAACAGGTACGAGGAAGGAGGCAGAGGCAAAGGGAGAGGTGTGTGGACAGACGAGACGAAGGCCAGTCAGAGGGCACACCCAGAGGACGGAAGAGAGAGAAGGGGAGAGAGAGGCAGACAGACAGACACAGACAAAGAGAAAGGACAGGTTAGCCGAGCGTCCCTGGGTATCCCAGAGTGGCAGGAACTGAGGAAAAGAACGAGCCACCAACAGCACTCACCGCCCTCCCTTCTACTGTTCAACCACACACTCGGTTGGCAAGGTCAAAGCCTCCCCACCAATCTGAGTTCTGCCCCAGGAGGACACAGTGAGCCTGCTAGTCTGGGGCTTAACTGCATGGATTTGAGTTACACAGACCTGAGTTCAAACCCCAGTTGTGCTACTTCCTTGCTGTGTGATCTCAGGCAAGTTATGTAACCTCTCTGAGCTGTCTACTTGCCTGGGACAGTTACAGGACCACCCTCACTGAGGAGTCCCTGAGTGCTGCAAACAGTTAACACCCTCGGCTGCGAACCTAAAGCTTGAGGGTTCACGTCCACCCAGAGGCGCCTCAGAAGAAAATCCTCACGATCTACTTCCACAAAACCAACCACTGAAAACCCCGAGGGCTACAGCTCTCTGATACACATGGAGTTGCCATGAGTCAGAATCGACTCAGTTGCAGCTCTTTTTTTTTCATCTGACTGCACTTAGGTAACTGTTGTCAGTATCCTCATCCTATAGGGGGACAGCCCCCAGCCAGGTGAAGGAAGGTAGCTTTGATAACCGACAACCCCCTCCTCTCTGCTCCAACCGTGTGCCCATCTTCCATGGGTCACCCACCAGGGCACGTGCTGCTGACCAGCACGTCCTACTCACCATGGAGACAACCCAAGGACCCTCCCGTGTGTGGGCCTGCCTGGCACAGAGCTCCCACCTCCGAGCACTGGCTATCCCCACAGCCTTGCTCTCTCTGGCAGGTGAATAGCAGATCTTCCACCACAGGGGTGTGACATCACAGGTGTGATGTCATAGGGCGTGACGTCACAGGTGTGGTGTCATAGGGTGTGACATCAGGAGACTTGGGACACCTCCACTCAAGGTATCTTGCCTGTGAGCTGCAGCCCCAAGCCCTGGTGTGGGAGATCTTTTGAACCCAGCCCAAAGGCCTAACATGAATTCCTGCTGGACATCATTGCTGTGGACGGGGACCGAGAGCCCAGCCCATGAGGGTAATTTGAGCTCTGAGTGGTACCCACTCATGTCATTCTCCCTCCCAGCTGCCCCCAGCTACAGCTCGGACACCTTCTATAAATCCGTCCCCAAGGGAGCTTCTGAAAGAGTCAAAGGGCGAAGAGGGTGGACTGCTCCAGAAATGCAGACAAAACCCCAGCCTCCCCTTCAGAACTATCAGCCACTGAAAACCCTCGAGAGGACAGTTCTGTCTGACACTCACAGGGCCAACGCTCCTGCCTCCAAAACTAAACAAACAAACAAAACCCACTGTCTTTCAGTCGACTCTGACTCATGGTGACCCTACAGGACAGCGGAGAACTGCCCCGTAGGGTTTCCAAGGCTGCCATCTTTACCGAAGCAGATTGCCTCATTTTCCTCCTGTGGAGCAGCTGGGGGTTCACACCCAGGCTTTGGGTTAGCAGATGAACACTCTGACTGCTACACTACCAGGGCTCCCACTCCCAAACCCCTGTCCCAGGACCTCACCGCTGGGGCTAGAGAAGATGTTCTGGGCGGCTTCCAGCTCTCTCAGGGCCCTCCTTTTGCCTACTGCCTCATTTCTTTCTCCCTTTTGTCCAAAGCCTGGTTCCCTGCAGACCCATAGGCACAAGGGCTTTCCTGGGAAGGCAGGGAGCAGAGAAGTGCAAGAGGCCACCAGGGAACATCCAGGACACCCCCCCCCCTTTTCCCTAGGGTTGCTGAGCCTCCAAGGGAGACCACGAGGCCCAAATTCAACTCAATACGTGGGTGTTGACCACCTACCTTCTATTAGGCCCTAGGTGGGTTGGTGTGGGTAAGATATGGTCCCTGCCCTCCAGGAACTTGGAATATGCAAGACAAAGGTGACAACCCTTGGCCAAGCTAGGGCCAAGTCTGTGGAATATGCAGTTTCCTCCCAGCACCTCCAACCTCCCTTTTCCCCTGATTTCTCCTTCCACCTATAGCCTGGCCTCCAGGTCTCCCCCAGCAAGAGCCTCTCTTAGCTAAGGCTCTGCAGCTCACTCACATGGAGGAATAAGGAACCAAAAGCAGTGTAAGGTGTTATCGTTCCCAGGGCTTTCACAACAGGCCAAGCTTATGCTAACGTGACTGATGGTAGAATTTCGGGCTGAGAAGATGAGACTTTTGGCAACGGAGGGAGCACTGTGCTCACCGTGGTACCCTTGGAATCTCCCCACATGCACATGGACCTAGAACACTGGCCGAAACATTTGAGTGCCAGAGGGGATCTTGAGCAATGCCCTGGCAGAGATTGTAAGTCATGGCTTCAGAGGGCACTGCCATTCTTGCAATAGCCTCTGCCAGGCCTGACTAAGCTCATCTCTGTCCACGCGCCCAGTCCCTGTAGGGAACTTCACACGCTGCAAGTTCCCTGCCCCCAGGTTCCCAAGCATATGTCCTCTGCCCCCAAGCCTCCCCCTCAACTCCACCGCCCAGCTCTGAGCTCTAGATCCGCACTGTCCAATCCCGTAGCCGTGAACTACATGGCCCCACTGAGCAGTTGGAACGTTGGCTAGCTGGAATAGCGGTTTGCTATTAAGTGGACAACACACGCCAGCTTTTGAAGACCAGGTATAAAAAGGGTGTCAGAGATGTTCATATTTTCTATACTGATGACATGTTGAAACAATACCTGGGATGTACAGAGTGAAACAAACAGACTGCTGAAATTAATCCCCCCTTGTTTCTCTCTACATTTTTAAAATGTGGCTGTCATTCTATCTCACTGAACTGTACAGTGCTGGATGGACAGCCCAGTCCCTCCCTGCCCTATTCCCAAGGGGCCCTGCCCTCAGAGACTCTAACAGGATGGGGTCTTCCTGAGTTAGGGGTGGGGAAGAGGGGAAACTGAGGCAGGTGTACTTCCCACCAAGAGACCACGAAATGTGCCAGAGGGAGGGCCCTGAATGAGACAAGTGTCTGAGCTCCAAATAGTGACAAGAACATCCAAAGAGTTCAGAGTTCTGGGTCTCACCACGTCCCAGCCAGCCAGCCCCACGAGGCAGGAGGGACGTCCTCTGACCCTGCTCTAATCCACTCTCTTTCCTCTGTCCCTCTCTCCACTTCCCATCCACCTGCCCTACCACCCCCACCAGCCTGAAACTTTCCTCTGGGCCCTGCACCGCCCCCTTCAAACCCCACCTGCTCCTTGCTGCCCGTGAGTGAAGTTCAGACAGCTTAGTCTTATGGGCAAGGGCCCTGCACCCTCTGATCCCAACCGAGGTCCTCCCCTTCATGGACCCAACACTCAACCAGTCTGCTGGCCACACAGCCCCACACGGTCTGCATCTCCCAGCCTCTGCTCCTGCTGGGCCTGCAGGCTGGGATGTCCTCTTTCTGTGTCTGTCTCTTGTCTACATGTCAAAATTCTACTGTCCTTCAGAGCTCAGCCTAAGACCCTCCCATGGGCACTTGTCTTAATCCCACCAGGCTCTGGGCACAGGGGTGAGAAGATCCAGGGTTCACCTACCCTCCCTCCTCTGGGCCTAGGGATGTTGCCTTGGCCCTGCACTAGCTCTCTGCACTGGCCCTGAGCCAGGTACTTGCCCAGCGGCTGTGCCTCGCCCCCCATACACCTGGCCTGTGGCTCCTTGGAGATGGAGACGCCCAGGCTCCCGCAGAGCCCTCTCCCACACTCCCAGGCGCCCTCCCCCCTTTCACTCCCCAAATCTCACCAGGCTCCTGCAAAGGATGCGCACACTCACACACACCTCCACCAGAGACACCAACTAACGCTGTCTCCCAGGCCAGGGGCCTCTGTTCTAGCAATTAGCCCCACCCACCAGCCGCGCTGCTTCCGGGAGCCGACCTGCTCTCTGCACCCACTGCCCTTCGAGGGGCGGCCCCTCCTGTGCCGTCGGGTTTCCCTCCCTCCCTGTGGCCTGGCGCCCAGGCTCCAGGGTAGAAGACGCCCCTCCATCTTGCTCCCACGGTGGGGGCCCCGAGTTCTCCCTCCTGCGACGGTAACGCACCCCCCTGACCCCGCCGGCCCCCGGGGCGCCCCGCCCCCTCCCCCGGCAGGAATCTCTTACACGCGGGCTGTGAAGTTCAGGGTATTTTTAGGCCGGTGTTAAATAATTCATAGGAAACGTGGCATCAGGCTCCCCCCGCGGGAGGAGGGGGCGCAGGCGGCGAGAACCACCGTCACCCGCGGCTCAAGGACACTCGCGATGCGGCGGCGGCGGCGGCGGCGGCAGACTCCGGGCGCCGGGACCCGAGCCACGCCTCCTGGCGGCCAGACTGGGCACCACGTCCTCCGCGCCCCCCGCCTCACTGCTGCCCCCTGCCGGCGTCCCCGGCTCCTCGGGCCTCCCCGCTCGGATCCACGCAGGGCCGCAACCTGAAGCCACGCGAGTGGGGGTGACCGAGCTCGTCTGACAGGCGGGGCTGTGAGTCAGGTACCAACTCAGGCCTGCCCTGGAGTCCGGGGCGAACCCGGAGGTCCAATTTCCTGCCACCTCGTCCCTTCACGTTCCTGTTCTTCCGAGGCCAAGCCTCCGGATCAGTTCCCGTCCCCTGTTGTCCCGTGCGCTGGCACAGCGACACCATCCAAGGGCTGGGGGACCAAGCGCAGGTCTAGGAACCAGGCTGGACGATTGGGGCCAGGGCTCGGGCTCTGGGGATATTCCCGCCCCCCTCACCAGCAGGGCCTTTGAAAGGCCAGCGGGCCGCGCGCCCTTGGGGGTTTTCAGGCTGCTGGTCGCCTCTGCCGTCCATCTCCCCAACCCTGCCTGCCTCAGGCCCAGGCACCACGGGCGTTCTGCCGCTGCAGGCTCGAGCCTTGCCTTCCAGCCGTCGGGGATCCTGGTGGAAGTCCGGGGAGACCAGAGCAACCCGCTGGAGCAGCGGCCAGGGCCCAGTGTCCCGGGGGCACCGCTCTCCCAGGGACCCCTCCGCCCACTCCTCCTTTCGAGCCCTCGGATGCCTAGGTCGGCCGGGCGCGGGGTCACCATTTGGGAAGAGCCTGCCACCGCAGGAAGCCAAGACGACGATTCCCTGAGGTCGGAGTGGGGAGCGTTCTTCAGGGAGAAGGGAGGAGGAAAGAGCTGGAGGGGGACCCCTGGGGGAGGCACAGCGGGGGGTGGGCGTAGGGCAGTCGCACGTAGTAGGTGCTCAGCAGACAAGAGGGATAGAGGGTCGGCTCCTGCCGCCGCTTCGCTCTCTCCGCCTCGCGCCCTCTCCAGCCCCCTGCCTCCAGGCCAAGCCCAGCTGCGACCCCAGCCCCCGGCCCTGATCCTCGCCAGGCGGCTTCCAGCAGCAACAGTTGGGGGGCCCCGCAGCCTGGCCTCCCACGTCCCCGCGCCGCTCCCTCCCCGCGGTGTCGCGGCGCCTGGCGAAGGAGCAAGAGGGCCCTGCGACCCCAGAGACGAAGGTCTAAGGCGCCTCGCCCGCGTCCTTCTCCGCGCGTCCCCTCGGCCTCTTTTCCTCCCCTGCCCCCCGGCCGCCGGGTCCAGCCCTCAGACCCGACCCCCGAGGCTCCGGGTTCCTCCTCTGCCACCCCTGCCCGGGCTCCTGGGCCGGTCACACGCTCTCCGGGCGTCCCGCGTCTGTCTCCTCCGCCCTTGCCCGCGCGGCGCCTGATCGCAGCCCCGAGTTGGCGGCGAAGTTGGCGCCCCCGGCCGCCTGCCC